GTGTGTGTGTGTGTGTATCAATGTACACTCTCACTAGAAGAGAGAGCAGACGGTCCATCTGTTTCACTCCAGTAGCTACATCTAACACTCACGGACATTCAGACAGACACACAGCACTCGGGAGATGACAGTCGTCCCTCTGAGAAGTGAAGTTAATCCCCACCGGGACAGCAGGGGAGAGATGAGAAGAAGAAAACTGAAAACACTCCTCCAAATAAATTGCACAAACCGCTTCAGATTCTCAGTCGCGTTTGTTTCATATTTTCAATCAATTCAGTTTTGATGCAAAGAGAGACATAAAGAGAGTCTCCATCAGAGAGGAAAACGGCGTCTGACGACCACACAGCGGTGATGAATAGCCGTTGGATTCAAAGAACAAACGACATGAAGAGTTTGCACACACAGATAAAAGAGTGGATGAATATTGAAAAAGAATTTGATAATTTAAAAAAAGCATTTCAGCATTTCAACACTTTACTCCCCTTTGAACAGTGTCACATGTTGTGCTATTTGCTTGTTAAATGCACCACGCATAAATAAAAAATGCAAAGCTACATTGCAACTGTACCCTGAGCAATTACCAGCTCCACCGCCCACTTGTGTTGTAAATTCTGACTGGGACGTAACAGGATGAAACACTGCCAACGTGGTTACTGTCAGTCAATATGGGACTATGTGTACATCCATATGTTCACTATTAGCTAACTGACAAGCTCTGTAAATGTGTGAGAAACCCAGAGTAAAGCAGCCCTAATGTTTTACAGGCACGGGTGTTGGCCACCATTGGTGTCACCCGTGGGCTCGGTGACCATGACCTCAAGGTTCACGACTCCAACATCTACATCAAACCGTTCCTTTCCTGTTGCCCCGAGGTAAGAGCCAGCACTGCAAATAAGCCTGCTGATACAAATTTGGTCATTAAAAAGTAGTCCAACTGAAATTAAATAGCATTTTTTTTGTCCTGCTGCAACATGAATATCTGCTCTTTAAATCACTTCAGAAAAATCAGAAACCAAGAAGGCGCCCCCTAGTTTTGTATTCATTTACGTAGATGGAGAACTTATTTCGATACAGCCAATCGAATCTTATTAGTATAAAGCTGTAACCCACATTAGCTTCCCTGTTCAAGTCTCCTAACAGGAACCATTGTCTCTGGAAATATCGGTGAGATGCTTTAGGTTGCCAAAGTACCGGTATTTGACAACCTGGGAATGAGACTTAACGATCAGCTGTCTTTTTCCAAAATGACTGACCCCGCCTCTAAGATTTTAAATGTAATATTTTTACACATGGATATTACAAATTAATTCCGGAAATTTAATTATTTTGATTATTATTTTTGCCATGGAGGAGCCAATCCTTCTTCTCTTTTATCCTCTTGTCCTCCTGTGTTGTTTGTGGGTCATTTACGATTCAGCTAGTTAAAAAAGGAACCATGCCTTTTAAACAAAACTGGCATGTCCTCATGAGCACCTTGTTTTATTATACATAATTACAAATGTCCTGTTATCCCAGCAGGTTATTGACTTTGGCAGCACAGGGAAGTACAAAAAATGTGATTTCAGTCTCTGTAACTTAACATAACGAACTTGACATACACAAGGAATTGTGGGCGGACATGTGTGCATCTATCTCCTTAAACCCATTTACCCTCAGACTAGGGGTTGCTTCCTGTATTTGGTGCAGTTACATAACAAATTTTAAACGGTCCTAATCCAGTGTTGCAGACGTTTCTTCTTCTGTCCTCCATTCATTTTAGTTCTTCTTGCCAGCCCCATCCCTTCACCTTGTTTTATCTCATGAGTGAAAGGATAACTCTGTCACATGACTTACCCTGCTCCACTGAAGGTAGCATTTTGGTGCATCTCTGTCTGAGCGGGGTCCTCTGCTGCAGGAGAACTTAAGCTCACCTGTCTGACTGTCTGGCACCGGTTTCAAAGCGCTTTCATCTCCTGATGTAGTTTGTCTTATAGAGTTTTGCATTTTTCCTTCCACAGCTCTCTGCTTGATCTTTAATTCATTAGTACCTGGGTTCATACCAGGTTCACATGGAAGTCTCGGCTCCTCTCAGCACTCAGTATCTCTGTCTGTGTTTCTTTCTCACAAACACAACTCTCACCTCTCACCAAAGTGTCTCAAGTGGGTTTGTCGAGATGCTCTCAGTGAATGAAGACTGCACTGAATTCATTAAGTTGTGGATTTGTCAGGATAGATTTTATTATGGCTGAGAAACTTGTGCTACTTTCGCTGAGTGTACTTGATCTTGCCAGCCCCCGAAAAAAACCTTTCACTTTGGGAAAACTTTATAATTTAGTGTAATTGTGCTGGTTTCTGGGCTGACAGTCACTCGATGCTGCCACTCTAGCTGTCATTGTTAAAATTATTTTGGTTTCACTTCTTTCTTTTTTTTTTGCTGCATGTATAAAAGTAGAGTAAAAAACAAAATCCTACATCTTTTGTGTTTTAGGTTACGGTATATAACCTGACGCAGTATGAGCACGGGGCTGATGATGTGCTGGTAATGGGAACCGACGGCCTCTGGGACGTCCTCTCTAACCAGGAAGTAGCCGAAGCCGTGACCACATTCCTAGCCAACTGTGACCCTGATGACCTGCACAGGTCTGCTTGCTTTTTTCCTTTTTCTCTCTCTTTCATGAAAGGTTTGTTGCTTTCGTTTTGTACATCTGAAGGCCAGTGCTTCCAGTCTAGTCTTTGTCCAGTATTTTACACCTGAATGTTAAACTGTTGTTGCTGTAAATTCTGCCTCTGAGTTGCATGTTTTATTTAAAAGCCATTGTTTCGCTTTCAAGGAAAAATGACGGCCTTGGCCACAAACCAGCTTTTCTTATCATTTTCACACTTTTTATTATATCTACAGTCAAACATAGACGTTTTGTCTCACCAGTGCAGAGTACCAATGTTGTTTCATCTTAAAGTCCTCAATTTGAGGCAAAATACCAAATAATGTGGCACAGTATAACATATGGATTAACCCCAAGAAATAGGTGGCCTCTTGATTCACGCAGCATAGAAATAACTCACAGTTCACAGTAAGGGTCCTACATACTGCAGCTCTGTTGTTGTTTCCTCTGTTGTCCAGGTACACAATGGCAGCACAAGACCTGGTGATGCGAGCACGCGGCGTGCTGAGGGACCGAGGCTGGAGGATCACCAATGAGCGTCTGGGCTCCGGAGACGACATCTCGGTCTTCATCATACCGCTCATGTATGGCAACCGTCAGCCCTGAGGAGCCCCGACAGAGATGCTGCGGTTCAAGGACCTGAAGGGCATGTAGGCTCTTAAACCAACAGGACTGATTAGTCCTGGACTTCAGTTTCCTTAATGCCGTTTGCACATTTCTTTTCCTTCTTAGACCAAGGATATACACATAATTGGATATTTATGTTGGTGTTTCATATCTCTATAGGAGTTCATAATTGGTCAGCCACCAAATTTGGCTGCTCAGGGGAACTACAGTCAGCAATGATTTATTCATTTTCTAAAGCCTCAAAAATCATAAAACCTCCGAGGTGAAAGTTTAGACACATGGTAATTTAATTTGCCAAAAGTCAAAGCTGTCAAGAAATAATTTGGCCTGTATAAAGTAGATAAAAGTGACGGAGCAACGTTGTTAGTGAAAGCAGTTCCGTAGAGGTTGACTGCCCCTGAACTTCTCCAGAGATGTAAAAGCTGAAATAGGCGAAAGTCTCTTCCAAAGTGAAGAAAAGACCCTCTTCTTTCTGTCCTTCTTACCTCTCTTACAGTGCTGTACAATACTTGGATCAAATTCCTTCTATTTCAGTCTTTCCTGTACTGTACAGTTAACTTGTTTGTGAAGAAAATACCTCCTTCGTCTTGTGACCATGGACCGAGCTGACAGGTCAGCTTAGTTTTCTGTTTTGCCACAGTGTGGCTTTGAAAGAGTCCCTTGCTGAAGAACTGCGTCCAGATTGCTTTTCAGATTACAGACTGATGGCGAAAGCCTGTTGTCACATAGAGAGTTGGGAGAGGGTGAGGGGGGGTTTACCTCTGTTCTACGATGTAAGCATTTTTCTGTGAAAGTGCACAACTGACCAACGTGGAACGCAAAAGGAAAGAGACTAGGACCTGAAGTTAACCACCTCATAGAAGCAAGGCAGATCAGGAATCAGTTTTACTGTAAAAACATATGAGCCTGTGTGGCCTGTATGAAATCTCAAAGATCAATCAGAATGTCCAAAAAAAACTCAATCAGATCAATCAAAAACAAACAAACAGCCAATCGATTAATCTGCTGGTCATCAGTGAGTTTGTTTTAAGTGATTAGCAGTCGTTGTTAGGCTGTTTTTAACTATTTCGCGATTTAACATGAGTCTATGAAACATCCATGCTTCAACATTTAGGGAAATGCAATTATTTGCTTTTTGCTAAGAGCTAAGAAGATCAATACCACTCTCATATCTGTGCATTACATATGAAGCTATAGCCAGGGGACAGTTAGCTTAGCTTATCTTAAGACTAGAAGCAGGAGGAGAAATAGCTAGCTTGGCTTTGTCTAAATCATTTTTTAAAAAAGCTCTCTAAACTCGAATGAAACGTTACGTTATATCTCTTCTTTTTTTTGTCAGTGAAACAGCCATAACTGTAACAAAATCTGTCTATGAGCCCCTCTAGAGTTCAATAATTAGCATGTGATATGTCTTTTGTCCCCGTTGTTTGCTAAGACAGTTGGATAAAGCAGTAACTTCTAAGCTAACTTACTGTAAGCTAATGGTTTCTAGGCTGTAGCTTCCTGTTTAATATACAGATATGAAAGTGGCATCAGTTACACAAGCTAAACCGAACATTTGAAAACTTTGTGAAAATTGAGTTATCAAGAAACCCTTTTTACATGTAGCAAAATGCTAGATTTGATGACTTGTACATCAGTGTACTCGCACTTTAGGCTGACCCACATCATTAACCAAGGAGCTGTGATATATGAAATGGTGAAGAGGCCAATATTCCCTGCAGCAGGGAGGATTGAGTAAAATTCATAACCGTGAGCATGAAAAACAATCAAAGTCATGGTGAACAGAAGTTTCACAGAGAAACTGAAAGCTTTTTTTTGCTTTAACATGTTTGGCATGTTTCAGAAGCTTTAGTCGCTTGATACAGATCACGTTTGTCTTCAGAGGGACAGGTTTGGGAGTAATGATGTGTGATTTACTGTGTGTCAGTGCATGCAGTGACATATTTTAGGCCTGGGAATATGAGCAACGGTGCAATGGTTTACACTGCTGTTTGTTTTTATATGGACTGAATTTGTATTTCTGTAATGTATCAAAAGTTAGTGACAATGTCATTTTGTTTGTAAATGTGCAGATACCATGCATATATTTATTAGGTTGTTTTTTCTTTTTATCGTTATTAGCATCCCCGACATTTAGCGTAAGAGCTAAGGGTGCGATTTGTCGTAAAGGAAGGGA